ATTTTTAGTGAGATGTACATATAAATTTATTCCTAATTAGACTACCCATTCTTTTTTAGGTTTAATAATTAATTGTTCTTTTGGTTTAATGAATTCGAAGAATATTCAACTTCTGTTAACTGATTATGGGAATTGACAATTTTAGAACTTTTTGTTAAACATGGGTGGAAAAATAAAGATAGCTTATAGTGTAGTGTAAACTTGAGGCTGAGAATGTTAAAGTATAAAGAAGTGAAGAATGACTTAACAAACATGTCAAGAGAGGGGCCAATTATTTAAGCATGCTTGATCTTACCCAGAGTAGCTTCAAGTTTGTGAAGTTGAGAAAAGTCAAAGTTTGTCTGTCAGGAATTAAAGGACTTGGATCTTATTGGTAATTATATAAAAGATCTGGAACTCAATGCAGCTACACTTGTAAATGGAGAAAAGAGTGCAAAGTTCATCACAGGAGGAAAGTTGCTAGATTCAGATTCTAGGTGTTTTGAGGCATATTGCTGTGAACCATTGAAGATGAGAATGGGTAAATATTATGTTTTCCAAGTGTATTGTGAGGTGAACTTTGGAAGAGGCTTGAGGGTCAAGTAAGTGTGAAAATTTATTTCCTAATAGAAAAGAAAATAATCTAATAATTTTAATTAATTGTTTTATTATGTTTCTTTTTTTGCTTACAAAAAAAAATTTTTCAAAGCTTCGAAAGAAACAGCTTTAATCTTTGAGAAATTTAAAGTAAGATATTTAATAAAGATTATTTTTTTAAAATTTTTTTTTATTTCGTCTAGCCACAATTATAAGTGAAAAACCCACAACACCAAGAAAATCGAGACGAAGACTTTCTAATGCAATTATTAATATTTTTTCAAAGGATAATAATAATAATAACAAAATCCAAGGTCAACATAGTTCATCATCATTATCGAATTTCAGTAAAGCTTCAACATCTACCGGCATTTCAACGACGACAAACAGTGCTCTCATAGCTCGTAAACAACGTACAAATTCTCAGCCTGCTCCTAATAATATTAATCATTCATCAAGCCACCTGGGAACCTCACTGCATAACAGCTCAAATCATTTGAAATCGCCATCTTCATTATCATCCTTAACCGATCTAGAATCTTCCTCTTCAACAACTAGTACACCATGTGGATATAAAACCATTGATGAGGAAATTTTCTTGGCTGTTGGTGATGAGAATAGTAATAGTTTAAATTACTTGAATGATCTTGAACAAGAGAAAAGAAAACTTAGAGCACAAAAGAAAAAAGAGCAACAAGATGCAAGGTTTGAACTTTCAATCCCAATGAAACCACAAGAGGCTTTGAAAACTTATGCACCATATTTGTCGTTGTATGAGCGTACAGAAATAATGGACTTTCCAGAGGTTTACTTTGTTGGCCCAAATGCTGCCAAAGCGGCTGCTAGTCCTGAATTGAAGGGATGTAATTATGGTTTTGACGATGAACGTGGTGATTATAAAGTAGTGATGGGTGATCATTTATGTTTCAGATTCGAGATAGTAGATACTTTAGGCAAAGGTTCCTTTGGCCAGGTGCTGAAGTGTTTAGATCACAAAACTGGAGAATATATTGCTGTTAAAATCATTAGGAATAAGAAAAGATTTCATTGTCAAGCACTTGTTGAAGTTAATATACTTGAAAATTTGACTCGCTGGGTAAGTTTTCTTTTTTTTTTTTTTTTTTTTTGGTTGCGCGAT